CCCAAAACCCCAAAACCCCAAAACCCCAAAACCCCGAGAGATTATGAATAAACTCAGTTATTAATAAAGAAATTTATTAGATTAAGGAGAAATGGCAGGAGTTTAATCATAATTTCTAAGCGAATTAAGTTAAATTCAACAACTAGAAAGAGACTCTTTTCAAGATAAAACACCAACAGCAATAAAAAACCTTTCCATCTCAAATGTTACTTAAAAACAGGGGTCTTCATTTCCCATCATTTAGTAGCATTTTCTAGATAAATCTTATCTGAGTTTTACAGGTGATACATCTTAAGTTGTTTCAGTTATACAGTAAATGAAAAACCCCTCTTGGTAGTAGATAAGTAAGGACCTCTTAAATGATGATTCAAGATCTATGAAAAAAATAAAGAGCTAGAGAGTATTAGAAGGCAAATAGTTTGTCAGGTAGCAGATAAAACAATGGAAAAATGATATTAAGAATTAAACTCCAGCAAACATTAAAGATCTAGAGGGATATTTTAGAAATGAAAATATCTCTTTAGGATAACCAGATGCATTAGGATACTTTACCCAAAGAAAAAGTTCAATAAACGATGACACAACTGAAAAAATAATCTCAATAGAAAATCGAAAAGCTTACAATATGAGACATAGTCTTGATTTAACTTCAAGAAATAAGACCAAGGAAGAATTAAATTCCATGAAAATGTTGCAAAATGTTAAATTTTATAACTTCTTTAGAGACTTTGAATTTCCAAACAACAGCGTAGACATCAAAGAATTTATAACTAATAACTAGTAGCAGAGGCCTTTTAAGTAAATCTATAATATATTGGATAAATATTTTGTTGCACACGGAAATAAACTACACAAGACAAAAGAAGATTTTGAGAACATAAATTAATAATATAAGAAGAATGCTATAATGAACTAAAGAGATCAATATGTAGTACTAGAAGAATGGTTCAATTTTATGATTAAGAAATATAAGGAGTACCCATTTGATCAGTTATTAGTTGTAGCATTTGCTATGGGCGATTTAATTCAAATGGAATTCTTAGCCTGCAACCAAAAGGCTTAAGTCCTCTTAAAAATTCTGCAATTTTTCCTAAGTAATCAATTGAGATAGTTTGATAAAGATGACACAAAAGATTTGGAGATTCAAAAATTAAATAGAAAATTAGAACATAAAAAAAGTTATATTACTAAACAAGATGATAGAATAATGAAGCTAAGAAGGCAACTTAGAGAAACTGAGAAAAAGCTTGAAGAATCAGAATAAAAATACTAAAAGCTATACGATAAAAATGAGGTACTAGAAAGTAAATATGAATATGAGCATAGAATAATGGAATAGAAATTCGAATAAGAATTGGAAGAAATGAAAAGAGCCAGCGAAGAATAAAAGATGATTATAGCCGAGACACTAGAAACAATGGTATTAATAAAGCAAGATGCTAGCAAATAGATATAATAGTAGACTGAGGAATAAAAACAAAAAGCGAAGGAGAGACTTTACAAGAAAAAACTAGGAAAATAAGATAGTATGACAATCGATTTAAAGAAGAAAAATAAATAGTCAAATCAAGAAATAAATGAATTATAGCTTGACTAAGAGCTTTAAAATAAGATAAATAACATACTTGACTAAAAAACTGAGGAGGAAGGAAAACCTAAAAGAAAATTGAGGCTTAGAACCAAATTGAAAAGGGATGGTTCAAATGACTCTATTATGCAGATATGTGATTAAGAGATTTAAACTGATTAAGCTACTCTAGTAGATTAAGAGACCTTAGTCATACCAATGGAGCTATCAAAAGATTTTGGTGCCTAAATCACTCCTCAAATGACATATTATTATAAAGCTTAAACTTAAACTGAATCAGTTACAGTAAAGCCGGTTGTTACTGCTAATGAAAATGCTACCTAATGTGATGATGATTTAATACAATAGCTAATTCAGGATAAGGTAAACGAGCATATTATGCAAATTGAGGAAGAATAAAGGATTTTGGATGATTTAAGAGATGAAATGGATTCAGATGATTATAATAATGACGAAGCAATCGGTGATTTCCGACCAGAAAAGACTGGGCAAAACATTTTTACAGATGGTTAAAGAACAGCAAATAATTTTAATACTTCATAGCATAGCTATTTAAGTCAAAATCAAAAGCAAGTCAAAAATAATCTGAAACTAACTTAATAAAATAGCTCAAATCGATAAGGTTAATAACAAAAAATTCCTTAATTAGGACAAACAAAGAGTAGATAAGTATCATAAGAAGATAACAAAAATGATACCACAAAATCACCACAGAAAAATATTGACAAATAAGTAATGAGAGATTAGATAAAAAGAGAAATGATGAGAGCAAGTGGTGCTAATTCAAATGCCACACCATCTGTTAATAAATATCTATACAAACCCTCTTTGTAACATTAATCACTTATTACTCCAAACAAATAAATAAAATAAAGTTAGAATTAGCTTATCGAAAGCATAAAGAAACTGGCAAATGGTAATAACAGCATTTCCCTAGAATAGATAATGGAGTTGATAAATTAAAATCCTTCAATTTTTTAGATTAATCAGCAGCCTCCTAGTCCAACTAAGTCTTAAAAATCTTTTAACCTACAAAGCTAGTCTCTTGCATTAAAGCGATATGCTACTTAACTTTAAAAAGAAAAGTTACAGGTAGAATAATAAAAAATAGTAACTGAATTGCTGAAGACAAGCTTAGTTTAAAATGAGAACAAAAATGAATAGAAAGAGAATAATAATGTTAGCTTTGAGAATGCTGTAAAGAATGATAAAAGTATGGAACAATTGACTTAATAATTTGAATTTCAAATAAAAAAATCTAATAGTCCAGTCTTGAATGCTCTGCTAGACACCTCTGATATTAAAAAATTATTTAGATTGGTGCTGAAGGATACAAAGTAATAGTAAGATAAGGATTAAAGTCAAGGACCAACTCAAGATAAAACTAATTTTTTCGAAAGACTAGCAGCTCCATCATAAGATTTTGAGAAAGGCTCTAATTTGCTTGGGGGTAATAAGAATGTTCCATAGTTTAATAACTAGATTATTTCGAGAAACCTTCAGTCTGATTTGCAGAGATAGATTACTGAAGAAACTATTGTGGATACTCAATATGAAGATGAAATGAAAGACATAATGATCAATGATATTTAAATAGCTCAAGTAGAATTGCCTAAAATTCTAATGAAAGCCACTGAGAAATTCAGAAAAAGTCTAACTAAACTTCCTAGAGATGAGTTTGGAGACTTTATATTGCATCAGAACGAAGACATTGATGACAAAGCTCAAAATGCAATTGAAAAAGGTAAATATCTCAAAGAATGGATCAATTAAATGTCTAAAGACATCAGGACTGAATAATAATCAATGATGACCAGAGATGAAAGTTAGCAAATAATAACAGTTCCGGTAGCTAAGAGAAATGCCTGTATTCAAACTAAATAGATTAAGGAGATTGACTCTATAAAAGAGATGAAGATTAATGAAATTATGCTACATTTCGACAAGAGTCAATAAGAGATTGAGATTAAAAAGATTTTGAATTAGGAATAGATGAGGAAGGATTCAGACAGAGGATTGAACACACAATTAATAAGCATGATAAATTAACATAAAAACAGGCAAGCAGATCAAACCATTTCTTAGTATTTGGGAGTTGATTCAGCTATAAGTAAGAAAAGTATTGAAATTTAAAGACTTAAGGACAGAATGTAAACTATTAATACTAACTAAAACAGATTATCCTTTCTAATTCCAAATTCAGCTGAAAATCAACCTTTCAAGCAAGTTTCACATCCCATCAACTAATTACTGCAGAAATATTTCTATGCTGTTTAAAAAAAAGACTTTTCATATTTTTAGGGAACTTTGACTCTATCTTTTAAACTTCTTATCAAAATAATGAACTCATATTTGAACGATAAGGGGATAATGGGTAGAGATCAGCATTCAGTTAAGAATTAAAGGATGTGCGAATTCATCTATGATTAAAATATGAATAAATTTGGAGTCGCTAAATTAGCTGAGAAAAAAATCAAGGAGATATTCCTAACAATTTATAAAGGCTAGGAATCAATTTACTAATGCCAATTTTACGTAAAACTACTTGGCTTGAATCTCTATGGAACTAATTATTCCAATGATGATATCTCTATTATTTTTAGAATTAATATACTTTTCAATAACATGTAAGTAATTAATCTCTCATAATTAATGATATAGAAATGCATTTGAATAGACTAAGGTACACAGACATAATGCTATCAACTTTGATAATGAGACTGTGAGATGCGATGTTTTAGTTCAAACTTACTTGGAAATGTTTTAGTATTACTTGAATCAGGATGAGGCGAAGCACTTTATTGAGGATATGAGAGACTATGTAATTGACTTGTATAAGATTTAGGTTCAACCAGCTAATCGCAGCAAAATGGATTTCAAAGACTTTAAGGTTAAGAGTGAGAAGGCCTACGACATATTTATATCCAAGTACTAGTATATAAAGTTGCATATCTTGCGTATAATGATCGAATTGAAAGTCTTTGCAGAGCAGTTTGACAAAGAAACCACTATCAATATTAAATCTATCCAACATATTAATGTCAGTTTGCAGTAGTTCCAAGAAATAGTACTTAGAGTCTCTCGAAAAGCTAAGGTTTAGAGTGACATTCTTTTAAAGTATTTTGAAAGGAATAAGTTTATAAGTTACAATCAGGATAATGATGGGGGTTCAGGTGCTTATCCAAGGCAGCATAACTCCATAGGAGGGTTTGCAATAAACCTAGAAAAGGTAGTAGCTTTTATATTCAGGTATAATCTAATCACTATATGAGAAGAGAATTTTAGTTTTTATTGAACTTATTAAATTATTTCAGATTTTAATTTCTTAATTCAATATCGAATGTCTATTAAAATGAGTGGGGTTTTGGGGTTTTGGGGTTTTGGGG